GATATTGACATGGCATACAAAAGTTGGTGGCAAAATGTAAGGAATGAAGAGGTAGAGAAATGCTATGATTACAAAGCTTGGAATCAACATGAAGAAATACCCCTTGAGACCACAGATGCTAATGTGAAAGAAGATGGTTTGAAATCAACTGAAAGATTTACTTGTACAAAGTCCCTGATTGGTCGTTCATTGCCAAATGTGCCCATCATCACTCACACTGGACCCAAAACATGTCAGTATGAGGGTTTCAAAGAGAATGTGTCTAAATGTGATGAACCCAGGAACAATTACAGCGATTCCCAGTCGTTCTCAATCCAAGCAAGAATAAAGGCTGTAGAGAAACCCTATAAATATGAGCAATGTGGGACAGCCTATTCTGATCTTAATGAAAGTACTCACCCTGAAGTGAAGGCCTTTGTATGTAAGAAAAGTGTGACAGTCTCTAGTATATCCAGTGACATTCATATCCATGAAAGAAGTGAGACTGGGGAGAATCCACATGCATGTAAACAATCCGGGAAAACATTTACCAATTGTAAGTACTGGCAAAGACATGAAAGAAGTCACCCTAGGGAAAAGCCCTACGAATGTAAGCAATGTGGGAAATTTTTCACTGGAACCAAATATTTGAAAATACATGAAAGAATTCACACTGGGGATAATCTCTATGTGTGTCGGCAATGTGGGAAAGCATTTACTACATCAAAATATTGGAAAGTACATGAAAGAATTCACACTGGAGAAAATGCCTATGTATGTAAACATTGTGGGAAAGTATTCAGTACACACAGTAGTTGCCAAAGACATGAAAGAATTCACACTGGAGAGAAACCCTACGAGTGTAACCAATGTGGGAAAGCATTCAGTACATACAGTTATTGTAAAATACATGAGAGAAGTCACACTGGGGAGAAGCCCTATGAATGTAAGCAATGTGGGAAAGCATTCACTACATCAAAATATTGGAAAATGCATGAAAAAATTCATACTGGAGAAAATGCCTATATATGTAAGCAGTGTGGGAAAGTATTCAGTGCACACAGTAGTTGTCAAAGACATGAAAGAATTCACAGTGGGGAGAAACCCTACGAGTGTAACCAATGTGGGAAAGCATTCAGTACATACAGTTACTGGAAAATACATGAGAGAAGTCACACTGGGGAGAAGCCCTATGAATGTCAGCAATGTGGGAAAGCATTCTCCTCACATAGCTCATGTAAAAGGCATGAACGAAGTCACTGTAGAGAGAAACCCTATGAATGTAAGCAATGTGGGAAAACCTTCACTACCCTGTCTCATGGGAAAATACATGAAAGAAGTCACACCGGGGAGAAACCCTATGAATGTAAGCAATGTGGGAAAGCATTCTCCTCGCACAGCTATTGTAAAAGACATGAAAGAATTCATACTGGGGAGAAATCCTATGAATGTAAGCAATGTGGGAAAGCATTTGCTACACTGTATAATGGGAAAATACATGAAAGAAGTCATACTGGAGAGAAACCCTATGTATGTAAGCAATGTGGGAAAGCATTCACTACACAGAGTTGTTTTAAAATACATGAAAGATGTCATACTGGGGAGAAACCCTATGAATGTAACCAGTGTGGGAAGGCATTCACTACACACAGTTGTTTTAAAATACATTTAAGAATTCACACTGGTGAGAAACCCTTTGAATGTAATCAATGTAGGAAGGCATTTAGCACACTCAATTATTTGAAAGTGCATGAAAGAATTCACACAGGAGAGAAACCCTATAAATGTAACCAATGTGGGAAAGCATTCTCTACACAGAGCTGTTTTAAAATGCATAAGAGAATGCACACTGGGGAGAAACCCTATGAGTGTAGTCAATGTGGGAAAGCATTCACTACACTTGAATATTGGAAAATACATGAAAGAATTCACACTGGTGAGAAACCATATGAATGTAAGAAATGTGGTAAGGCTTTCAGTGCTCAGAACACTTGTAAAAGACATGAAAGAATTCACACTGGGGAGAAACCCTATGTGTGTAAGCAATGTGGAAAAGCATTCACTACACATAGCTGTTTTAAAAAACATGAAAGAATTCATTCTGGGGAGAAATCCTATGAGTGTAAGCCATGTGGAAAAGCATTCAGTAATCACAACAGTTTTAAAACACATGAAAGGAATCACTCTGGGGAGAAACCCTGTGTAAACAATGTGGAACAGCATTCACTACACACAGTTTTAAAAGTTATGTAAGAAATTACGCTGGGGAAAATCCTTATGAATTTATACCATGTGAGAAAACATTCACTACACCAAGATATGGGCTTTTTTTTTCAAACTCACAACCTTGTTCTTGCCAGGCAGGTGCTAATGCCACTGAGCTAAGTCCCTGTCCCTACACTCAGATATTGGAAGATACACAAGAGGGTTCACTTTGGGGAGAGCCCTCTGAATGTAAGCAACATGGGAAAGCATTTATCATACACAACTGTCAAAGACATGATGTCACATCAATCAGAAGCATATGTATTTCTAAGTTCTTGTGTTTTTTTGACATGAAAGAACTCATTCAAATGAAATCCTATGTATGTAAGTCAAGCTTAGAAGGAATTTACTCAGAACTTTTAATTTTGTAGGCCTAAATGAATTCACACCTGGGAGAAACAATATGTATGTAAGCAATCCAGAAAAGTCAGTACATACAGGTACTATCAAATAGATGCCAGAAGTCACGCTGAGGAGAAATGGTACATAACTAAGACTATTTTGAATACTTGGTAAAAATGTCTCATGTAGAAGAAACCTGTAGAAGTTGTATGAAAAGTTTGATGTCAATTTTTTCTTTATAAGTTTTCTACAAAAATGTGCCCAGATGGAGATATCCTAAAAAGCATAAACACTGTGTAGTGTGTTTTCCCAGTATTTATCTGTAATTGTTACTATGAAAATAAAAGTTGAGTTGATATAAAAAAGAGATCCAGCATTAACTCCAAACTTAGCACTGTTTACGTGGTATTTTCTTAACATCTGTTATTTGAGAAATGAACACAGCCTGCAAGAGTAATTCTAGTGTCACTGGCACTCTGTACTGAAATGGTTATGTACGAGCTGTTTGATTTTACTTTTTTAAGGATTGGCCTTTTACATGACATTCAGAGTTTTCTTTCATTTTGATTCTACAGTAAGTTTCACAGATCTTCCTAAAGGCCAGGTTATAAGATTTTGTTTTAGTGAATACAAGACTCATTTGTTTTATTATTTATAAGTTAAACTTGTATAAGCTGAAGCCTTTCTGTAAAGATTTTTGTTTTCCTTTTTTATAAGGCAGAATATGTTTATTATAGTTCATGTTTAAGACTGTAATTGCTATCTGGGTGTGCGAGTGCATACCTGTAATCCCAGCACTTAGGAGGCTGAGGCAGGAGGATCATTGCAAGTTCAAGACTAGCCTGGGCTACAAAGTGAGCTCAAGGCCAGCCTGAAATACATGGTGAGACCCTGTCTCAAGAAAAGGCCAAAAAAAAAATTTTTTTTTTCTAATTTAAGTCATTGTGATAGCTGTAAACATCCCTTTTAGTTCACTAAGAGAAATAAACCTTTTTCTTTAACTTGTTTAGCTGTATATATGTATATATGTGTATGTATGTATTTGTGTATATATGTGTATATGTTTGTGCAGTTTATGCAGTAAACTAAGTGTGTTTTTTCACACTACTTCTGTAAATACTCATGTTTTCCCAGGATGAAAAGAAACATTTAAATAAAGTTTTTTATTTCAGTAATCATCTGCCTTACTACATGATAGCCAAACACTAACATTAATTAATTCTCATTTAAATTTTAAAACTTTTAAGTTTTTAAAAAGTACTTTTGTTAGAACAAAAAATAAATTTAAAAATGCAGAGACTATCAAGTAGAAGAGCACTGAGGTGAGGCCTGACAATGTGACCTGTAAACTAACTACTAACAAACTCATGCTTTCTGATTTTAGAATTCTTGCAACCTAAATGTCAATGATGGTTTTCTTTTTTAATGTATAGTGCTGCAGGTGCCCAAACTATGTAACTCACAAGTTCCACAGATTTCTGACACCAAAAACAACTATTCTTATCTCCAGATGCACTTCTTTCACTATGGAGGTCACGTTCTTTCCTTTTAATTTACTTTAAATTTTCTGCCTAATCTCTTTGTGCCTCTATTTTAAAAAGCTACAGGTAGTTATTAAAGATTATTATGAAGCCTTAATTTTACTGGCAAATATATTCATACACTTGACAAGGTAACAAATACTGTGCTGTCTCTCTTGTGTGTGCTGTTGTAGTTTCTGTGTCTTCAGCTCCATCTGTACCATGGTTTGGGGATGTGCCTCTGTCACCTGTTCCAGTGCCTCTGTTTTTTTCCATGTGTCTGCCAGCCTGTTGCCTTACCTTTGGGATATTTGAGCCTCCTGGCAGCTTCAGTAGCTCACTGAGTTGCTTCAGTCTCATCATGTAGTCTTTGGACCATGCTGATTTATTTTTTCCTTTGTAGTGGCTTCTGGACAGCCTTTTGGATCACTGTAGCTGTTTTCCTTGTTCTGTTTTCCACTGCAGGCCTTGAGCCTCTTTCTCCTTGGCCTTGAGTCATTCTGTGTCCTTCAGAGCAGCCTTGTGCTACCTGGGGCTTCCTCGTCAGGCCCAGGCTCTTTTGTGTGTGTTCCTCAGCTGCAGTGTCATTGTGTTTCTGTGCTCACTGTCCCTGTGAAGCATCCCTAGTTTTTTCTGTTTGTACTTGCATGATGTGTTCTCAGCATTGCTGCAGGTGTGTCCCAGCAACCCTTTCTGCTGTGTCCTACTGGCCATAGCTTTTACAAAGCTCACCTCCAGGGGGAGGATCTCTTTATTCATGGCCATTGTGTCAATGTGTTTTCTATCAGCCTGATGTGCACCTGGGTGAGGCGCACTTCAGTGTCCATCTTGTGCTGTGCTTTTTTCTTTTTTTAAAAAGAGAATAAAACCAAGCAAAATAAAACAATAAAGCCAAATAATATGGAGTACTTAATGAATTTGCATGTCATCCTTGCACAGGGGCCATGTTAATCTGTGTATGTTCCAATTTTACTATATATGCTGTGGAAGCCAGCACTGTGTTGTCTTTTCTTTATCCCTGTGGCCCAAAGGTAAATTGGGCCAGTTGTTTGGAGTCTCTTTTTGGGTGTAGAATTGCACAGTTTGGAAGACACAGGAATATATGTTGGATCTCTTACTTTATACTATATATATATATATATATATATATATATATATATATATATATCAGACTTGAAAAATTGCCACATTTTGGGACTCCAGTGTCTCTTAACAACATCATACTACTTTTGGATAACAGCTCAGTGGGCTGTGTCCTTACCAAATGTTTAGTTTTACCATCTACCAGAAAGTCTATTAATTGCTCCCCTTCTCTAATTGTAACCATGGGCTTCTGAGTGTCCAGCTGGCCAGTCCTGATAACATTTCATTTTTGTCAGTCTAACGAGGCCAGTGTATAGTTTTTCTTGGTGGTAGTAGCCTTTTGTATGCAACCTTCTACTTTAGGAATTTTTATTGTCTCATCATTTTTTGGCATGTATTTCCCCAGGGTCCATATTTTCACACTGTGCACATCAATCCCAATCTAGTTTCGGTCAACTGACAGATCCCAGTGTGGTTTGACTTCTGTTTTGGTAGTGTCCTTATCTATGTTGTATCTTCTCTCTTTTAGCTTCTGACACTAGTGAGACAGTATGGTGTTTGTACAAGCCTGTCTGATTTATTTCACTTATGAATATATCTCAAGTTGCATCCATTTACCTATGAAAGTCTGAGGTTTCCATTTTTATGGTTGAGTAGTACTCCATTGTATAAAAAGACCCCATCTTTCTTATCCATTCTTTAGTTGATGGGCATTTAGGTTGTTTCCAAGATCTAGCTATTACAAATTGTGCTGCTATAAACATGGGTGCACATATATTGCGGTGGTACAATGTTTTAAATTCTGGAAAGATACTGAGAAGGGGAATAGCTGAGCCAAGTGGAATTTTATCCTACTTTTTTGAGAAGCTTCACACTGATTTTCACAGTGGTTACACCAGCCTACACTGCAACCAGCACTGGAGAAGCATTCCGGTTTCCTCACAGCCCTTTCAGCATTTGTTATTGGTTAATTTCTTCATATTAGCCATTCTTTCTGGGGTGAGAGGGAATCCAATGTTGTTTTCATTCGCATCTCTTGAATGAGCAGTGATGTTCAATATTTTTTCATATATTTATTTATTTGCTGTTTGTATTTCTTTATCTGAGAAGTGTGAATTCATCTCAGATGCCCGTTTTGGATTGGGTTTTTTAATTTGGGAGGACTGATTCTTTGAAATTTTTATATGCTTTTGATAGTAATCCTTTGAGGTACAGCTGGCAAACATTTTCTCCCACATTGTGGGTTGTCTCTTCACTCTGTTGGTGATCTTGCTTGCTGTGCAAAAGTTTTTAGTAAGATGAGATCCCAGTTGTTGATTCTTTATTACAGTTTTTTTGCAATTGGAGTTTTATTCTTTTTTTTAAATTTTATTTAAGGAGAAAAAAACAGAAAAAGGGTACAAGTTATACAGAATTTCAGAAAAAAATAAACAGTAGGAAATCACTAGTTAATAGATTACATATTCTCATCTTAGAAATAGTTGTTCAAGGTACAAAATTAAAGCATATAAAGTAGGCATTCAAACACTGAGACTGCAAACAGTTCTGTTCAATGATCCAACAAAACTCAGTAATATGGTTATCTATCTTATACACTTAAATATACATGCAGTTATATCCTTTAGAGCACTTTTTCCCCTCTCTTTTTTTTTTTTTAATTTTATTTAAGGAGAAAAGAAAAAAAAAGCAGGGGAAGGGTACAAGTTATACAGATTTACAGAAAAAAAATGAACAGTAGGAAATCACTAGTTAATGGATTACATATTGTCATCTTAGAAATAATTGTTCAAGTCACAAAATTAAAGCTTGTAAAGTGGACATTCCATCAATGATACTGCAAACAGTTCTATTCATTGATCCAATAATACTCTGTGATATCATTTTCTATCTTATACACTTAAATATACATGCAGTTATATAGTTTGGAGCACTTTCTTTTCCTCTCTTTTGTACCATGACTATTACACATTTTGGGTTTCATTGCTCCCACGGTTCTTATTACTTTTTTGGAAGAGAGTAAAACCAAATGTGACATAACAGAACAGAATCGGTCAAGTCAAAAGGGTGGACATAATAGATAATGTAAAAACATAATACAAGGTGATCAACAATGGTTACCATAATGCCTCCCGCTATCTCTAATAGAATTGCCTATATCGTTAGTTATAATACAATTGAACAAAACAATAAAGAATAAAACCGACAAAACCAAAACATTGGAGACATTGTAGGTCTTCAAAAGTAGATAAAAGTCAACAAGAATGGGCGTCATAATGAATCTCATTATCTTCACAGCTGATGCCTAAACTTTCGAACCTGATACTATCCAGTAAAACAGAATAGGGGAACATCAGTTAAAAACTAGATGGTGAGAGTAATACAGGGCTTTAAATCAAGGCGATGAAAAGTCAAAGTGGGTTACTATAATACATCCTGCTATTTTTTTCCTTTAATTAAAAGGATAAAGATAAAAAAGTAAATAATGGAGTGGAGATTGAGATAAAAGAGGGCATAACAACGAAACAGCGCAGATCAAAACATAACCATTTAAGCAGAATAGTGTTTCACCACCAGATAATCCTAACCTAAAAGTAGTTACCATATTGTCTCTTTCTTTGAAATCCTTGAGTACAACTTCATATATTGTAGCATTAAGTATATCAAAACAATGTAAAACCATTCAAGAGAATGACAGCATTACAGAGTATTTAGAATCGACTAACAGAAAATGAACAATGGTTTCTGTATAATCTCCTTGTCTTTAAAAGGTTTTTGCTTATACTATCGTACATAATAAAATCCAATAAGATACAGCCTGTTTAGACCATTGGAGACAGAAGGACAAAATCTAGATGAGACTTCAAAACAAGATGATACTAAATCAGTATTACCTATTAAGATGTCATTTTCTCCAAAATAGCTGTTCCTATCATCCAATCTTCTCTGCCTCATTTCTGTTGAGCTCTTTTTCTGTCAGTAGCTGTCAGTTTGTCTTCTTCATTTTGTTCTCTGCTCCATTCGTTGTGGCCTCCCCGCCACTATTTCTGGGTTCTTTGTATTTTTCTTTTTTTAGAATATCCTGCAATACTCTCTGTAGAGTTGAATTGGTGGTTGCAAATTCCCCCAGTTCCTCTTTATCCTGGAAGCACCTTGTTTTTCCATCAATTTCCAGGGACAGTTGTGCAGGATATCTCAATCTTGGCTGGAGATTATTATCTTTCAAAGCTTGAATTATTTCCCCCCACGCTCTTCGTGATTTGATGGTTTGTGCAGAGAAATCTGCTGTAATTCTGATGGGTGTTCCCTTGTAAGTGGTCTGTTTCTTGTCTCTGACAGCTTTTAATATTCTGTTCTTGTATTGAATTTCTGGAATTTTTATTATTATATGCCTGGGTGTTGCTCTGTTTGGGTTGTAGGTAGCTGGGGTCCTGTATGCCTCATACATCTGAGTATCTTTACCTTTTGCTAAATTAGGAAAATTCTCCTGGATTATTTCTGTGAGTAGCTTTTGTAGTTCACTTGTTTGTGTCCCTACTTCTTCTTTTATGTTCTTAATCCTTAAGTTATGGATCCTCTTATCATCTTCTTGTCTTTGTATTATTGCTGTTTGTTTCTTTGTTATTTTTAAGAAGTTTTTCATTTCATTCTCCCATATTACAAGTCTGCCCTCCAGTTCAGATAGTCTGTCCTTAGTTTCTTTCAAGCTGTTATGCCAGTCTTCTATAGACTTCTTAGTATCTTGGTAGTCTCTTTGAACCTGCTTCATGTATTCTATACTTTCTCTGTTTTCTCCATCAAACAATTCTCCCCTTTTTTTCTGTTCTTCTATTCCACCACCTGTTTTTTCTTGGGTGGTACTTAGCATTTCTCTAACTATTCTGCAAACTTCTAGCTTCAGGTCGTTGATAACTTCATTCCTGAATTGGTCTATGAGGCTCTCTATATGGTGCCTTATGTGTATTGGTGTGGTGTCTGCTATTGCCTGTTTCTCAGAATTGGGGGCCGAGGAGCCTTTCTTGTTGCTGCCTCTTCCCATGCTGCCTCTTCTTCTCTGTTCCTTATATATGCAAGCTTATATAAGAGGCCCAGCTTCTCTCCCAGTCAGCCACAGCCTGATCGAATTGCGCCAGTTAGGTGTTCCCGCTCACCGCTGCGCACCAGGGAGTTACGGACCAGGCAGCCTACGCGTCTCCCCTCCCGGCCACCGTCAGGCTCTGGGATCTGGGTTGGGACAGCCTACCAGGTCCGCCGGCAGCGTCACGCAGGCCAGGCACTTTTCACCAATCCCGCCCGAGATGGGGATGTGTGGCTGGAGTCGCCACCGCGCCCTGCTCCCGCAGGACTGCTCGGGCCCAGAAAGTCCTCTGCTGGAGTCAAACTGTGGTAGAGTGTCAGTTTCTCTCACTCACCTCACCACAAGTCAGTGCACGCCTCCCTGCAGTTCGCAGATTGCCGTTCTCAGAGCTTCTGCGCGTCTCTCTCCTTGCCGAGCCACTGTAGAGGCAGCCAGCCGCCGCGCGGCGGGAAACCCAAATCGCGGCTTACAATGGTGCGGGGTCCAGCCTCCACACCGAGGCTTTTCTGTTCCTGTTTTAGCACCAGGACTGCATTCCAAGTTGGATTCTCTCAGCCCAGTTCGTTCCTGAGTCAGCAGAGCATATCTCCACCTGCTTATGTCTCCTTAGTCTGCACCATTCCTGGCTTCTGAGCCGAGTCTTTCACAGAGCCTCTGGTAGTTGCTGTTATCTGTCCGCCATGTTCTCCCCTCCCCCTCTCTTTTGTATAATGACAATTACACATTTTGAGTTTTATTATTCCCATGGTTCTTATTACTTTTTTTGAAGAGAGTAAAACCAAATGTGACATAACAGGACAGAGTTAGTCAAATCAAAAGAATGGACATAATACATAATA